CCAATGCAAAGGCTTCTCTCTGCAAGGGACTGGGGCCAAGGAGATGACACCTTGGGGAGCATGACTGCTATGGCCAGCTCAAGGTGACCACAGTGAGTGGCTGTGGGTTCAGAGAGCTGAGGTACATCCAGGCTGTGCATGACGTGTGCTTTCCTTTGTGTCCCCCTGGGAGCAGGTCACAGAGAGAAGAGCACTAGTGGGCGAGAGAGAAGATAGGTTGGAGTTCTCATCAAACCGCTCCATCTGCCAGTATCAGCACCTACTGACAACAAAAATAGATTTTAAATATTCATGAAACATGGGGTCTTCACAAGCATAAGTGAAGTATCAGCTTGAGTATCAGCTGGTAGGAGCATTCAGTGGAAATCAGCCATTTTTGTGGATGATACTGTTCATACAAAAGAGAAAGCCTATGATGGCAATAAAAGCTATGATTTTGGCACACCGACTGTGTTATCTTCCCCCTTAGTGTGAATGTGGGTCTATTTATTTCTCTGCTTAAATATTTATGGCATCCCTCCTGACAACGAGAATAATAATAATACAAAATTAATAATATTCATAATAATGGTGGTAATATCTACTTTTGAGTGTCTGCCACATGCCACAGTCTTTTTTAGATGTCTTCTTTGCCTACATTGCCTCTAATTCTCACAAAAGCCCTGTGAGAATGTTTCCCCTGTTTCATAAATGAGGAAACAAGGGCTCAGAGAGGATCTGTAACTTGCTCAAGAACCTAGTTGGCCAATGACCAACTTGGATTTCAACTAAATGTCTTCTTCCTCTGAAGAGCCCTGCATGGGTTCTGGGATCTTTGAATCAGAAGCTATTTTAACACTATCAAAAATGAAATGGAATGAAGAATATTACCCTTTGCCATGAAGCCTCAGGTTTCTCTGGGTTTTCAGCCTGTGTTCCTGAAATCTGCTCTTGAGACTCAGAAAGAAGCAGAAAGGAAGGATTTGTATCTGTATCTGAAGATCCTAAAAAGGCCATTCCTCGCATCTTGAGAAAAGTTTTGGGACTTGTCTGTTTTCCCCCAGTCCCTCCTCCTTCTATCTGGGTCCTGAGCTTTGTGTACCCTTATCTTCCTTGCATTTTTCTCCTTCTTCCCTTAATGTTGCATAGTCTTAAATTAGCCTCATGATGCCCCTTGTATTTATCTTCTCATGCCTATTGGTGGTATGATTTTTCTCTGTGCCAGGAAAAAATATTAGCTTTTGAGCTGGAACCTATTTTCCTCCATTCTAATCCTATCCTTCCTTAAATGTCCAGTTCTCACAGAACCTCTTTGAAGAGTTTCTTATAATCCTGCTTGTCTTCTCAAATCCTGTAGTACTTTTTGCTAGCCAAATTACACTTGCTGCCTGTGCCTTAGGTGTTTGTGTGTGTATATCTTTTCTTACTCAATAGCTCATGAAGGTTTGGAAGGTAGGAGTTGTACCTTCTGTTATTCCTGTGCCTCACACATTGTAGATGCTAAAAAAAACCACAATTGAATAAACAAAAGCTCTTCTCTTATATAGTTTCTTTATTTATTATATCTAGCTATACCTTTGACTCTTACACTATCACTGCTACATCTGTAAGTAGAGTCCTATATAGAGACCTGGTGTAGCAAATGAGAATCTGATCAGGCTCTTGTTCTAATACTGCCTCCAACTCCACTCAGAACTAAAATATAAGTAACAAATCCTCTATGAATACAGAAGAGTGATAGAGAAGTTATTCAAATCTTCAGTGTTTGCTTTAAACGTGCCAGAGCAGGGAAGCTTTCATTCCGAGGAAGCTTTCATTCAGATCAGTTTCAGATCTAGGAAATCAAACTGCCCCCTTCCCATACTCTTGTCTCTCTCCTCACAATGTCCCAAAGCCTCAGAGTGCAGCACAGTCAGCGTGTTTCTCGGGTGGAAGTCGCCAGGCACTGACTCTGGTGGGACAGTAGGACTGACCATACAGGAGGTGGTCAGTGGCCCTGCCCTGACTGGTCCAACTGCTGTCAGAACCTTGGACAAGGCTAAACAAAGGCAGTTGGGTTTGCCTTTCTTTTTCCTACCAGCTCACCTGTACCTTTTCAGTCCAGCGAGGCTGATAACCTTATTCTAAACAAGCCAGAGGAGGGGTCAAGTGGCAGCTCCATCTTCCACTTGGGAATTCCACTCTTTGAATCATAAATCAGTCCCTCTAGTTGTTTAGAGTGGCCTACACACAGAGAGTTATCTTTTCTTGGAGAAGAGCCGTCATGCACAAACCAGGCTGACACTTGTCCACTAATTGCTTCCTACTGGAATTTAACTTATTCGAGTATTCCATTTGGGCCTCATAAATTTCAGAGGTCTTTATTGTCATTTTACTGCATATGGGCTTGTTCAAATCAATATTCCTATATGCAAATATGTGTGCATGTATGTATATATATATATGTATATATATATCAGTGAAAAAAAAAAAGCCATGACATTCTCTTCTTCCTTTGAATTTTTTTTAGTATACAAATTTTATATTCTGCTTTTAAAGCTATTTCTGTTGCACAGCTGCTTTACCAAGATTCAGACTCCTACGGGCCCCACTCGGTCCGACACATACCTTGAATATCCTTTCACAGTGTTTGATTTCTGCAGTTGGTTGTATAATGAGGAAGGAGTATGCAGTGAGTTTGTAGATTCCTATTAACCAGGTCACCCATGAATCTATTTTCATACGCTTCTTTATTAGAAATAGCAGGGAACACGATAATATTTAAAGACAACTACTTATAGGAGCCTAGCTTCAAAAATACACCTAATAAGTTTTCTTTTCACATTTGGCATTTCAAAATGTACTGTATTTTTTCATCATAAAAACACGTCTCCATTTATATTCCAGGCTGTAAAGAGAGAACATTACAAATGACAATGGATATTTTGGATGGTCATTTGGATTTATGATTTCGTGCCACATTTAGACCATATCTGTAGTGTTTCATTCTGTCCTTGGCACTCCCTTTGAAAATGGCTCTTAAAGAGATAGACAGATCAAAATGATAAGGCAGGACAAGGAATGGAATAGAAGAGAGCTATCTTCAAACATTTGGAGGATTTCTCATGAAAAAGGCAAGTAAAATTGTCCTGTGTTATACCCAGAGACAGAATCAATGAGTGAAATCTACAATGAGACAGGTTTTGATTCAACTTAAGAAGTACCTAACAACTAGATTTGCCAGGCTCTCTGGAACAAGTTGTCATGTGACATAATGAGTCTCCAGGTACTTCAGGTGTAGGACTCTAAGCTGGTCCTTCCAGAAAATGGTCCTTCCAGAAAAACATGTGCACTTCAGCTGTGAGAGTCAGTGGTCCTTACTATCTGGTATTACTACTGGTACGTGGGGCATTGACAAAACAGTGATATTGTTGCCTCTTAAGAGCAGAACTATGAATCCTTTTAAATTGCTTAATACAAATGTTCTAATGGGCCATCACTGCCAAGGCCAAGGTAGAAAGTGAGTTTGGACTTGTTAAGGCAGACATCCTTTTATTTCAAGCAGATAATTTACTTATCTGGCCCAGCTATTTAAATGGTTTCAAAACACACAAAATGGACCACAATCTTTCATTTTGTTGCATTAGTAAGACTTAGCCAACATCTCACGACATTAGTATATCATTAAAAGTGTGATAATGATCCCTTTCAACTGAAGAGAGTTCTGCAGTTTATTTAGTACCCTCGCCTATATTTTTCCTTTTGCTATTCACCACAATTCTCTAAGGAGACATTGAAAATATTAGTTTCTCAATTTTTATAGGTTGGAAACTGAGACCTACAGGGCTTAGTGACTTACCCAACACCAACATGGCAGATAGCACTGGACCTGGGATGAGTCTGGAGTGTGAAACTCGGAATCATGAAAGCTAGGCAGTATTTACGGCCCGGTCTATCATCAATAATGTGGCTTTGGAAAGTCTCACATGTAAAATGAGGGCATTGGAGTAAGAGGAACTCTGAGGTGCCTACCACACCCCTATTGTCTGAAACTTTTTTCACCTCTCTGTTACACATGTTGTCTGGCACAGTTCTTACTTTTTGCCTGGCAGGCAGGAGGTAAAATGAAGCAGAGCTTGTGGGTTGGAGGAAAACGTTCTGATGCGCTGGTGTGTGTTTCCAGGGTGGTAACATTACACTTCAGCTGCTATAAAACACCTTTGTGACAGATCACTTTCACAAGCTTGAGACCCTTGGCCGCTTTTTGATTTGGGGTTTGGAATTTGAGAATATATTTATTTACTTTTGTGGATTCAATTGTGGTGTAGAGTGGTGGAGGTGGCCTTTATGAATTTCAACAACCCTAAATGTATTTTATTTTTTAATTTTCTAAGTATAGCTGTTAAATAGGTTTTACATAGGCAATTACCATTGATGTCCCAAAGATAACTGCTATTAAAATTTTGTTAAAACTTTCTGGAATGTTTTCTATGTACCTGTACATATTTTAAAATAAATTAGCATAATACCGCATGTGTCGATTTATAATCTTTTGTTGATAATGGTAAACTTTTTCTTATTTCACTAAATATTCTTTTAAAGAAGGATTCGATTTAAATTTAGATTTAAGCGTCACATTGTATTCTAGTGACTGGATGTATCGAAATTAATTTAACCCATTTCCTATTTTGGATATATTGAATGCTTACAATATTTTGTTAATATAAAATCATATGTGAAAATGTCTTCTTCCATAAATCCTTTATAATGCATTAGATATGTCTAATTTGTCAAAAAGAGAAAACTAAAGCTGAGTTTCTATTTTACAGTACCAGCAACTCTATTGGGCATTCATAAGAAAATTATAAACTCTATACCTACTACGGTTAATGGTATAGTAACACTGACGGTTTAGGGAGAGCTCCCCCACTGCTCCCTTCGCTGGATCTGTTACTGTGCTCTTGGCTTTTTTACACAGTTAATGACTTGCATAAACATCAAAGCAGTGGCCTCATTTTTCTTTTCTGTTGATTCTCCTTTAGCCTGATGAAGTCCTCCGATATCGATCAGGATTTATTTACAGACAGTTACTGCAAAGTGTGCAGTGCACAACTGATATCCGAATCCCAGCGCGTGGCCCATTACGAGGTAAGGACAGCTTTCCTCGCTCAGTGGTTTCAAATGGAAGAAGGAGTACCATGGGTCATGGTTGTAGGACTTGAGAGTACCCACTTCTGGACTTGGGGCAGGTTTTAGGAAGCACAGGACTTGAACCCTTATAGTCTGAGCTCAGGCTGGGAGAAATGAGTCTGAGTGGGGTAGGGAGTGAGGGCTGGGGACTTCGTTCCCAGGCCCTGGCTGCTTCCCAGATTCTCGTTTTTCTTTGTACCTCGGCTCCTTGAGACTCAGTGTGCTTTCTCTGCTTGTTAAATCTTTCACTGCTCATCCCTGAAGTTCCTTTCAGGGACACAGGGCAGGATGCATTAATGCCAACTTCTCTTTTCTTCTGTGACCCTGAAACTAAACTCAGAGATTCTTTGTTCCTCACTGTAGGGAAAAAAGGGAAACATGGCAGCATCGGTGATTCAGTACCAAATTCCTTCCACCTGGTGGCCGCTGCCCTAAATGTGTAGGGCTTAAAGACTTCCCCTGCAGAGTTATAACAAAGTTTTAAAGCCCAAATGCTCTAAAAGGACATAATTCAGTGGCTTTGGGTCTTTAGGATGGAAGAACAAATGGCTGCTTTTTGATCCTCTATCAGGAAGAAAGGGTGAGAGAAGAGAGGTTGGCTAGTGTCTGAGGAGGGAACGAGGTGCCGTGCGTGAAGGAAAGGGGATCCAGATGCTGAGGGCTGTCCAGGGCATGTTTGCTTTTCAAAAGAACATGTACCAGTGGAAACATGAGTTTTCAAGTGTAATAACTTGTAAGTAATTTTAGATTGGAGAGCTTAGCCAGCAATTTTCTTTTTGTCTGACGAGTTGGACAAATGACAGTTGTCGCTGTCGCTCACCAAACTCCTCTGAGCCTCAGATTCCTCTGTGCACATGAAAATAATAATAACATGCACATGTACACACCCCAAGTCACAATAAACAGACCCTGCATACTCCTCAGGATTTTGTGGTAACCAAATGAGACCTATTGAAATAGCATTTGTAAAAATACTTTAGAACTGTGAAGTTGTCACACATGCAAAATAATGTTGTTTTTCATTATTAATGCTGTAGTAGCAATATTTTATTGAAGGCAAATAAAACTTGCTCTTCAGAGAAAACTTAAAAATCAGAATCTGTGCAAAAAGTTAGCATATTCGTTTGTCAAGAGGCAGTTGAATGTTAGAAGTAAATGGGAACTCAAAAGAATGATCTAAAATGAAAGATATCCATCTTTTGAAATTAAGAACTTTCTGATTTCCATGGATATTGCTTTATAAACACATATGGTTTTATTCATTCAATTTCCCCAGTTAAAGAAAATCAGAGAATTTGTCCTTGCTTTGAAATTCTATAGCTTCCTGTTAGTCCTTCATGTTCTCCCTTTACTAGACTGTTTGTGTTCGTTTTTAATCATTGCACTAGATTCTTGAGGGCGGAAACACAGTTTTAATTATTTGATCTTTTATAATTCCTGGAACAGTGTCTGCACATCATAGATACTCAGTTTGTGTTTGTTTTCAAAAATAATGTCCAAGTGACAATGTCCAGCACTGCTTTCTTCTTACCTGAGCTAGAAAAGTAACATCAGAAAATTGAAAACAACAAAAATGTTTTTTCAAGGAAAAGAATTTTAGCTGCTCAATGAAAGGTTTAGTTATTTGAACTCAAGATTTTCTTTCTTTTTTCTTTCCTTTTTTTTTTGGTCACCATACTGTACTCTTGCTGTGGTACAATTTAATTGTTTAGAGGATGTGTTAGTATTTGTTGCATGTAGCATAGAGAAAAGAAAGCAATTACAATAGATCTGCAATTAACAGTGTTACACATCATTAAAACAGCATTAAATGCATTCCCATTAAGCATGGATGGGAACTCTGAATGATGTTTCACTCCCTGCCTCCAGGCAGAGGTGGGGCACTTCCTTCAGTGAGAAACAGCATGTATTCTTGCTGCAAAGCTGCCATGTGTGTGCAAAGGGCACAGTCAGGACTGAGGCTACCTTATGCAATCTCTGGTCTTCCAGCTTCAGTTAGGAGACTTCCTCGGAAATTCTTCATGTCTAAGAGGATGGCTTCCATCAGACAATCTTGAAGGCCATTTGAGAACTGATTCTCTGATTCTATTAATCTCCCTGCCTTCCTCCACCTGCACCTTTTCTGCTGCAATTGCATGTAGAGTGGGTCTCTATGAGTTCAAAATACCGCTCAATTCATTGAAAATGTTGTCACACTTATTCTCAAAGCTCTATCACTGATTTATTGCTTTAGTATAATTTTACTCTTCGGTTCAACCAGATAATATTCCCAGCTTCCTTATAGAGCAAATCAGTGACAATCCACTGTGTACTTTCTGTGTGTCCAGCACTATTAGTGATAATTATTGCAGGGAAATCTGAAGCTGCATGAGAAATAGTCTCTTTCCCCAAGCTTATAAACTTTGTTGAAAGGAAAAGCCACAGATAGTTCAGTGTGGTATAAATATGTGTGTGATACTGAACATAATCTGTAGAATTCTGCTGCTTGCTCTGCTGATCTATTTTGATATAAACAGTGTTAGTTCTTCTGCCCATTTGACATTCTGATATATGCTACATTGTGCTGTTAACTTTTTAGATATTTGCATAATCCAAATTCAAAAGAGTGAGTCATCACCAAGAGTTATTATGGTCAAGAAAGATCTGTACGGACTGTATAAATTATCTAGGCTTCAGTGGATGGGCTAAGTTTAGGAGTTGCTGGAATGAGAAATCTTGATATCTCCAAGGATCATTGAGGAGGCTTGGCTGGCTGGACTGGAAGATTTGTGTAAGGAAGGGAGGTGAGCAGGAACACATACATATAGGTAAGGTGGGGTCAGGGCATAAAGAAAAGGAGAGTTTGGATTCTTGTGAGTTTCTTAAGCATTTGGGAGCATAACAGTATAATTGAGCATTTCTGAATGACAATTTACTGGTGGCAGTCAAAGTGCATCGCTGGGACAAGAACAGCTTTTGATGCGACTTGTATCATGAGACTAATATGCCAGATCTCTGAAGCAGGAGAGAAAAACAGCAGATAGTTTAATGCTTAATAGTTGCATGCCCCATTTAGAAGGCTGGACCTTTATATAGCAGGACAGAAAAACCTAATATATGTCTAATGGACCAGACTCTTTCACGTTATACTTTTAAAATCTCTTTTTGCATTTGGAGTCCTGAGATGAAAAAAAAGGGAAACATAAGGGTATTATTATTTTCCTTACTTGCTAAGCATTAATAACATGTTAATATTTTGGTGGAAACTATAATTAGATATTTTCTCTGCTCACTGGATAAATGGTCTGAATTAATAGAACACGTAGACACAGACACGGAAGGGAAGAGCAAGCTTTCAAATGAGAGTGACTGAATATCACTTGAGTAGTTTGCTGTAGTGGCTAAAGACTAATTTTCTGCAGAGAGAAAGAGTTGCTTGCATGAGTAAAGGAGTGATTTTTTTTTTTTGGCATGTATGGAGAATAAGATTTATACAGAGAAGACCATGAAAAATGAAACTGAAAGGATAGAGAGATTATTATTATTTTTGAGTGAAGCTAAAGGAAGAAGGTGAATGAGCAGACCTAGAAGGAAAGAGAGAGAACTCTTGTTAGGCAGGCCCAATGAACCCAGCCATGAATGTGCCAACCCCTACTGCTTGCCCTTTCTTATGAACCCTAATATCCCTTGTGCTGCTGTGCATTTGTGTAATTAAATATTCCTTGTGAAATTAGCGGCTTAGGTGTCCTGGCACCTTCAAACAAGATTGTAAGCTTCCTGCGGGCAGGCAGGTGTCATCCATTGAGTTTTTAAATTTATTTCTACAGCACTCACCATAGAGCTTTGCCCATGATTGTTGCTCATTGGCACTTAGAGGCTGACGAAGAGGCTGAGGATGGGGACTAGAGGAGGAAAGCAGTGGTTCAGGCTTAATGGAAGCACCGATGGGTACACCAGAAGAGGCACTGGTATACATTGGGAGTCAATCTATGACTGGGAGCTGGCCTCCAAGGTATAAGTGATGATTTTATAGTTATACGAAAGAAAATTCTCTAAACAGATGAAAAATCTTTCAAACATCTCTGAATCTTGAAGTAATGTCAATCCTGGTAAATGAACTTCATCGGCCCACCAGGGAATCCAGTACTGCTCTCTGATCAGTGTGGCACCAGCCACATTGGGCCCACAGAGGCATGCTGAAATAGATTTTTCTTCTTTTACTAGTTTTGATTACATTCCAAAAGAACTTTGGCCTACCCTAGCTTTCTTTTTAATCCAGGGAAATAGCTAAAGGGCACTCTTCTGGTCTCCTTAAGTCTAATAGTAGATGGAGTATAAGTACTTTTTGGGTAGAGACAAGGTGAAAATTCAGGTCCTTAATATATGCTGATTAAAGTCTCATGAGTTTCTGGTACTTTAATGCCTTCTTTTCCTTAGTCTCTCTCTCACACCTTGTCAACTTTTCTTTTTCTTTTTTCTAACTGCCTGAGTAAGCATGCAGGCTGGACAATTTCTTCCCCATGTCTCAGAGCTGTGAGTTAATAGCATGTTGTACTTCTGCTGCCATCAGTCCTGCCAGGGATTACACTAACTGGACTTGCATAGTGTCAGGGCTCACTGGGTTCACACCCATCCTGGGTATTGTGGGCAATGCACTTCTAAAAATGCGAATATTGAGTGAGGATAATAAAAGATCTTTAGAGAAGAATTTCTGTGAAAATGCCTTCTTTGCACTGTACATTAAGAATTACCGTTTCAGTCTCTTTGAATCTCTTGCAGTCATGACATGCTTAATTTCTCCCAGATGCTGTTAATATAATTATTGGTGCATTTTCCCAGGCTAAAGCAATTCTTGTTACCCTCCATAATGTTAGAGGACTTCATCCTATTTTTGATTGCCTGATAGTCTTAGACCTCTGTTTCTTGACCATTTCATTAAAGACTCTTGAGCATCTATAAAATTTGTCACTATTTTTTAT